AGACCAGACCAGGAAATCAACTCCACAGAAAGGCTGTGGAGACAGGCTACAACAAACACAACCTTGCAAGTCTGATTGTACATCACTACCTCCTCTTTCTTATATTCCAGTGAATTAGGGAGGTATCTACCTGAAGCATTTCTAAATGTTATCTCATTGTTCTGGACTTTAACAATGTTTTAGCCCCTTTTGCCTAGGTACTGGTTCGTGCATACTTAAGGTCATCTTCCTTACTCTCTACAGCATTCACTGGGGTTAGGGAAAGGACACTAGGAGGCACGCTATAGAAGATAGGTGTTGGCAACAGTAAGACACTATCCCACAAAACAGGAGAGCGGAGTCAGAGTGTGAAAACCCAGAAGGTTTCTGGAAGAGGAAATATGCAACTGCCAGCCCTTTGAGGTAGACCAAACTAGGAAATCAAAGTTATGAATGCTAATACTACTTTTATTATATGGCTAGAGAAACAGAATCTTGCAAGTCTAAATACCCTTCTCCTCTCACTCTAATTATCTTCATGAGAACTAGGGAGGGTCAAGTCTGAGGCACTTCTCAAACTACATTTCTGCTTTGGACTCAAATTCTTTTATCTGACCATTGTCTTAGTTGCAGTTCTTCCTGTTTCTCAAGGTTATTCCTACAGCCCATTACACTAACAAGTTTAGGCTTAACAAGCAAAATAAATTCTGTGCTACTTAACTCTCTACCATTACTTTGATAGGAGAAAACCATTCCCTTAGTAGGAAACTCTATTTCAGCCCCAGTTAATTCTCATTCATTATTTTATGTTTATAGCTGCATTGTTAATAGTATTATTGCCAAGTTTAATGTCCTTCAAACTTATTATATAATACATGAAAGTAAATTTGATATACAGTTAGTGCTCACTTACCAATCATTCGTTCAGCAACCATTTGAAGTTACAGCGATGTTGAAAAAAATAACGTTATGGCCCATTTATGACCATATACATCCTTCACAGTATCCCTCAGTCATGTGATTGCCATTACAGTCATCTTTCATCTCTCCTTTGCCTTTTCCCACTGCAAACGTGATCACATTGCTTTTGATGTGTAGAAGAGCAAAGTGCTTACTCTCTTGAAATCTCTTCCTCTTCAATTTTTCTGCAGGGAGGGTCAGGCAAAGGAGACACTGCCTACAAAAACTGATTGCTATTTTTCTCCTCTCCCCTGCACAGCAGAGAGATTGGGGAGAAAGGGATTGCAAAAGAGTAAGTTGTTTGCTCTTCTACACATCAAAAGCAATGCAGTAGCATTGCTTTCAATGTGTACCAGACAGTAAACAGGCACTCCAGTATTCTAAAGGGCGGGGAGTGGTTAGAAGGTAAACAAAAGCCAAAGGCATGAAACTGAGTAGTCTTGTCTCTTTCCAGCCACAAAGCACAGTTGCAGTCATGTAATTTCCCACTTAGCGACCGCTTCATTTAGCATCAGAGTTGCTGGTCCCAATTAGGGTCATTAATCAAGGACTCCCTATATGCATTCATAAAAGACTGCTTTAAAGACTTGCAGACAGGTGCTACATTCATGCTCCCAAATGATCTCAAATATATTTTCTCAATTACTCCAAAACACTGCACAGCTATAATATGTAATATTCTCAGAAAAAGGGTCGTTTTTTACTTCTATTTGGTGGCTCCAAGGTTCTTTTTGGTGGTATCTGTGACTTGAAAAGTTAAAAATGTCTATGCCTTAACAGTTATTTCTCTGCCCAGTCATAGAACTAACCATGAAAACTTTCTTCAAGAAGCATCTACCAGAGCTGGATTAGAGATTCTGTCTCCTAGGCTCATGTTAATTAGGCATGTGAAAGAGAGGAATTCCCAGCTGGTGAAGTTAATTTCAAAACTGCATGTTGTTAGGTCTTGTCTTCTAGAAGCAATTTTTATATAACAGAAATGTTTCCAGCTTTTTTACTGCTAAATACAAGTGTTCAGAATTAATTATTAAATATTTATTTGTGCTTAACTGAAAAAAAAGTTTCAAAGGCAAATGAAGTAGAAATAGAATACTGTTTGTTACGTAATTCAAAGATCAATAGTATTTAAAGTAGTTAGAAAGTATACTAGCATGGATATATAGTGGCTTGTTTAAAAATACCTGGAGGCTTTAGCATATTCCCAAAAGCTTTTCTTATTTGCACACTAAAGATATTTTGTTGTTTGTACCTGAAAATTAAGCCAACAAATGTAGCTTCAGCAATGAATGTTGAAAAGTGAGATCTATTCTGTGTATCTCAAGAATCAACATTACACACAGTAATGATCCTGTTTCATTATGAAATTTTTAGGGCAGTTCAGTCCCAGTCTGGGAACATAAAAGTATTGTGAATAGGAAAAATTACTTTTCTTTGTGTGATATTAAATAGCCCGACCTCAAACCAGTACAAAGGTGTATTTTCCCAAAAGATTTTCAAGTACCACACCTTAATTATAATCTCTCAGATAAAAAGATACTTTAAAAGTACTGCAAATAAAAGTGCACTGCAGCATCAATTAATTTAACAACATGATTAGACTAAGTGACTGTATTCATCAAATATTTCTGCTTTAAAGTTCCTTAGCTTTGCATATTTACAGTAATAAACAATTAAGAGCACAATTGGGACAGAGTTTTTAACTGTCAACTTATCTATCTGTACAGGCATTATACAGTAGGATACATTTCTTCTTCGCTTTTCCATTTCCCTTAACTTCGTATTTGCAACACCAACAATCTTTGTATGTTATCGAAACATAAGATTGTTTGAATAACTTTATTAGAAAAACTGTAAGTTCTCTTTTCTTTAACAAAGGATTTAAGTGATTTAAGTTTATTTAAGTTTATATCACTATTTAAGTGATTAGGGCTGCAGTAATCCAAATCCCAATTATCTGAGAGTACATTTCACTTAATTCAATGAGGCTCTGCTTAAAATAATCCTGTGTAGGACTGCATTTTAACTTAGTGGCCATTTTTCTTTTACAATACATTGAAATAATCCTCCTCCTCATTATATATATATAAAAAAATAAAAAATAAATACTTGCTCCTTTCCTCCTTACATAAGTACCATACCTATAGCATGGAACAGAGAGTGGAAAAATTAATATTTTAAAAATAACCTTTCCTTCTTACAAATATCTAATCTTTGTAATCTTTATTATTATGGTCACTGACCAGCATTTGTATAATTATTACACAAGGTTACAAAGTTCAAATTAAAAAACATAAAAGCTTCTAAAACCAATAAAAGTAAAAGACACAGTTCGCTATAATGCTACAAATGCAAATAATAGAATACTAACACAAAGACAATTGAGGAGACCACAAATTAACATTACTTTTTAACAATTCGGCATGTATCAGGTCACTGCCAGGGGCTTTTTAAATTAATTAATTCATTTAACAGTTTTTAATTAATTGATTAGTTTAACAATTTCCAAATAGGAGACTGGTGGCTAGAGGGAATACTGTTTAGCAATATACGTTAAGCAGACCCTCACATTTTAACCAAAATACCATGAAAAATGTGCCACGCATGGATAAGCCAATCCACATTTTTCATGATATTTTGGTTAAAAATTTGAGGGTCTGCTTACCCAGGGATAGGCTTATCCGAGGCTATGCATGGGAAATACAGGTACTTTTAAAAAGTATTACCTCATATATTCACAGATAAGCCCATCCATGGATAAGCTGAATCCAATTTTTTAGGTACATGTTGGCACCTAAAATTCTAGGCTTATCCACGAGAATATATGGTTCTTCTTTAATCTTTAGGTTAAAGAAAGCAACCCGAAAGGAAGAAGGTAGACATTTATAATTAAAATATCAAATAATCTTCCAGAAAAAAAGAGAAAATTTTAAACCAGTCATGATCCAAAGATTTAACCAAGACTATTTCAAAATATTAGGAGTAACATTCTTAGCCAATTTAGCCACTATAGTTCTTTAAACTAGAAATATTTTTTTAAAAAATTGTAAGGAAACTACTGGATTACTCCTAGGGATGCACTGTTTATTCAATTAATAATGTATATCAAATAAACAATCTGGCACATTTGGTTTTTAAAAACTATTATTTCTAATGGTAGAACTTAATAAATACTTTTACCATTTGCTAAAGTATTTTCACTTATATGAAAAATAATGTTACATCTAAGATAAATTTATTAACCTAAAGCATTTTTAGATGATGCCTACTAGGGTAAATATTATGTATCATCTAAAAATAAATTAAAAAGCTATTTGTAGAACTACTGTTTACCTTATATAAATTTAATTCATGTATGTATCAACCCCCAAGACAATCTAGTTTCCAATTGTGTCCCAAGTACATGCAGGAAGGGAAAGAAAGCCTGAAGACGTTCTTGCAGAATGATTACCCCTATCCACTGTTTGAAAATGTAACTGTGGGTATAGCAGAAAACAGAAGGCAGACTTCCTTCTTTCTTCTGATCGTGGGAGAAATAAACCATAGCAGATCCCAGATTGGAATATGCCATAGTTAGAACAGCTATAGGCTTTCTGTGCCTGTGTCAAGGAAGCCATATGGCTTTGAATGAAGCAGATCTATGCCAAATCCTGATAAACACCCACTGCACAGACGGAACATAGCCAAAGAAACAACTACACCAGCAGAATTTTCTGCCAACATGGGAGTCTTCCCATAAAAGCAGTGTCATTCTACTTACACTTATATCTCTATCTCCATTTACACTAAAACATATCAGATTAGTTTTATTAATTTAGTAAACTAAATTTACTAAGTTTCTTTAACGGGGTGGCTTAGACTGCAACCTTCAAACAAGTAGAGTGAGTTAAACTTTTGAATAAACTAGAAAACATAGCTGTCTACTTAGCTACTTTCGATTTCAAGATATCTAGAATATAACTTATGGAGTTACATCTTAGTTTCAGGAATAGTACTGTTAAAAGTTTCTTCGCTTATACAGTGGAGCATGAAAAAGGTACAATTTTAAAAATCCTCCTACTCACCTTTCCACAACCAAACTGATTGCTTGAGTAACATCTGGGTTTGCAACCTGGAGACGTTTCCATAAAGACCATACAAATTCTTTATCAGCCTTAATAAAACAAAAACATGAAAAAGATTAAAGATGGCAACACACCAGTTTTAACTGGCATTCATTACTACTGATTGTGGTACTCCTGGATTGCCTAAGAATGGTAAGGCTGGGGGTAGAAGTACAAAATACTGTAGAATTGTCCTTCCTTGAGGCATTTATTTATTTATCACATTTATATAGCTGCCCATCTCACACAAAGCGACTCTGGGTGGAGTATAACAATTGAATAATATAACAAATGGATAAAATAATCATTATAAAAGTTGAAAAGTGATGATTAAAATGCAAACATTATCAAAAAAATTTTAAATCTTGAATTTTAAAATATTCAAATCCCATGGAGAGAGCAGAATGTTAATCATAGTGGAGCCATCTAAGAATGTCTCCAGTTCCTAATGCCTGTGACATAACCATGTCTTGAGCAACTTCCTAAATGACAGCAGGGAAGGGGAGAGCCTAACTTCAGGAGGGAGAATATTCCACAAGGAGGGAGCCACGGCAGAGAAGGCCCCTTTCTTGGAACCCACCAAATGCAAGTCCCTGGCTGATGGAACGTGTAGCATATCTTCCCTGCCAGATCTAATGAGATGGGCTGATGTAACTGGGGAGAGATGGCCCGTCAGATAACCCAGCCCCATGCCATGAAGAGCTTTAAAGGTCAAAACCAGCACCTTGAATTGGATCTGGAAGCAAACTGGCAGCCAATGCAGCTCGCAAAGCAGAGGCATAATATGTGCTCTTCCAGGAGCACACATAGCTGTCCATGCCACCACATTCTGTACCAGTTGAAGCTTCCAGATACTCTTTAAGGGCAGCACCATGTAGAGCACATTACAGTAGTCCAATCTGCAGGTGACTGAGGCATGAGTGACTGTGAGCATAGCATCCCAATCCAGGAAGGGGCACAATTGGCGCACAACACGAAGATGTGCAAAGGCCCTTCTAGCCACAACTACTACCTGCTCTTTGAGCAGGAGTCGTGAGTCTAGGAGGCCCACAAGATTGCATACCGAGTGTCAGGCCCAGCCCAAGAACAACCATGAAACAGTTCGGTCCAGTATAATTCCTTTATTTGCTTACACCTTATATACAGAATTTTGCCAAATTAAATCTATACTACAGCAACTAGTGGATATACCCTGTGAGATTCTAGGGAGTGGCTATCCTGAATCTCTCTCTGTTCTCACGCTCCCCCTGTGGACTATGCTGCCTCTTGCCTTCTTCCCCCTCCTGGAATGCAGTTCGGTCCAGTATAATTCCTTTATTTGCTTACACCTTATATACAGAATTTTGCCAAATTAAATCTATACTACAGCAACTAGTGGATATACCCTGTGAGATTCTAGGGAGTGGCTATCCTGAATCTCTCTCTGTTCTCACGCTCCCCCTGTGGACTATGCTGCCTCTTGCCTTCTTCCCCCTCCTGGAATGCACCACCTCCTTCCTGATAGCCTTCATCTCCCACATCACTCTCCTTCTCGTAGATACATTCCATCACACCGAGGCTGTCCAGGGCAGTGCCACCCATCCAGCAACAAAGATGGCATAGTACCAGAACCAGCAGGACCCCAAACCCAAAGCCACTCAGTTTTGCCAGGGTTCGATTGATGCCTGTTGTTCCCCATTCAGACCCACACAGCCTCCAGGCACCGGGATAAGACATTCACAGCATTACTTAATTCACCAGGAGTTGAGTATAGTTGGGTATCATTGGCATACTGATGATACCTCACCCCATGGTGACAGATGAGCTCACCTAGTGGCCTCATGTAGATATTAAATAGGAGAGAGGAGAGCACTGACCCCTGCAGCATCCCACACCTTATCTACCCAAAATACAGGTAATATCTAAACTCTGTCTTAATAAAACAAAAGAAAAAATGCCATAATAAATATTCTATTAAATATACTTTGATTATCAAAAACATTTATCATCTTATCTACCCAAAATACAGGTAGCCCTCAACTTACGTCCATTCATTTAACAATGGCAATGAAAAAAGTGATTTACAACCGGTCCTCACACTTACAACTGTTGCAACGTCCCCACAGTCATGTGATCAAAATTCAGGCACGTGGCAATGTGCAGCCATTGTTACAATGGCTGCAGCATCCCCGGGTCACATGATCGCTATTTGTGACCTTCCCAGGGAGCTTCCAACAAGCAAACTCAATGTGGGAAGCCAGATTTGCTTAACAATAATGTGATTTGCTTAACAAACATGGTGATTCACTTAACAACCACAGCAAAAAAAGGTCGTAAAATTGGACACAATTCACTTAATGACTGCATCACTTAGCAACAGAAGTTCCCATCCCAATTGTGATCATAAGTCAAGGACTACCTGTATGAAAAAGCGATTGAGGTGCTTCAAGGTTCAGTCTTGTTCCAATTCTTCTAATATCCATATACACATGTTGGAAAATATAATCTGGAGATATGTCTAAAGCTTCTCGGCTAATTATAGAAATACTGATTTCCCCCCCCCCCGAACAGTATCTAAACTCTGTTTTTATAAACCAAAACAAAAAATCCATAATAAATATTCAATTAAATATTCTTTTGATTATCAAAAACATTTGATTTATCATCATTAGATTAACAAGGATTTCAATATTTTTTTTTCACACATTTTATAAAAAGTTTCACACACTTAACAGTCTTGATAACACAGCTTCGAAACTGGTTCTTAGAGTCTAATTTCCTCTGAAACAAAATTGCACTTCTAGCTTGAAATTGGCAGAGCAACCTAATTCTACAGCTGTCAAAGCCTAGGATATATCAATCTTCAAAGTACCCAAGGATTACTCAGCCTACCACGTTTTTGTTAACAGCACAGAAAGGTCATCGGAAGTCTGTCTCGAGCAGTTGAAAACATATCTGTACAGAACAGAATACAGATGTCATTTGGAAGTTCCCAAAAATTTCCTCATTAAAAATAAAATTACTCACACCACCACTGCATGTCAAGAACAGAATCTGCTCACTTTGGGAATGTGCATGAAAGATGGAAAAAGACAGGTATAAAACATAAATATTTAGAGTGTTTTGGGAACTATATTGAAAGTGAGATTTTCTTCCCACTACTGTATAGCAAAGCATCTGCAATGATTGTAGGTCAAGTTTCATACTGAAAAAGTGACAGTTTTGAAAGAGAGAAACAATGAAATTGTGTTTCAGTCAACAGTGAAAATAATTATACCTCATCACCATCATGTTAACCGACATGTGGCAATAAAGTACAAATAGGCCTCGGTTTCCTGCTAATACTGAATATGATTGTGTCATAACCATGGGAAGAGAGTAAATTCTCTGCATCATATTAAAAAGTATCCTCCCTCAGAAAAATCTATACATTATGAAAATTCCAATTTTCATTGGAAACAATAATATTAAAGATAACCTTTATTTCCTCAATTAAAGTGTTTAAGTACAAGAACGATCAACTGACACAAACACAAACTGAAATGTTTGTAGGAATCACTGGTTTGACTGGACTTCCTTTGGGAGCAGGGTACTTCCGCTGCATATAATCATGCCAGATGTAAAAATACTACAGATTGATTATTGACTGTAAAGATGAAAAACAGGAGAAGGAAATGAGTAGAGACACAGAAATATACTTAATGTATGCTTTGTTAAGGCACACATTAAGTTCACACAATCCTTTTATTCTTCATGTATGTCTCTACCTCTGCACATTGTTTTGGAACTATTAGTCAAGGCCACCTTAAAATTGAAGCCCCACACTACAAAAATGGGGGGGGGGTGTGAGTTTTAAAGAGATTGCTGCAAAAGGTCCCGC